AGAGGGAGTGCAAGGTGCTGGTGGTGGCACCCGTCCAGTGACACCCCTGGGGACACCGGGGACATTGGGGACATCGGGGACAACGGGGGACAGAGGGGACATCGAGGACAGGCCACCCCGGGGGTCCCAAACGCGCCCAGGGACCCCCTTGGGGGGCTCGAGCTGCTGCTTGTGGGTGCCAAAGGGATGTCCCCGAGCTTGGGGACACTTGGGGACACTTGTGGATGCACCAGGGGTCGTCCCCAAGCTTGGGGACACTTGGGGACATCAAGGATGTGCCACCCCGGGGGTCCCAAACACGCCCAGGGACCCCCTTGGGGGGCTCGAGCTGCTGCTTCAAGGTGCCAAGGGAGGGGACAGAGGGGACACGGGGATGTCCCCAAGCTTGGGGACACTTGGGGACAACCCCCAAGTGTCCTCGAGTGTCCCCAAGTGTCCCCGAGTGTCCCCAAGCTTGGGGACATCAAGGATGTGCCACCCCGGGGGTCCCAAATGCGCCCAGAGACCCCCTTGGGGGGCTCGAGCTGCTCCTTCAGGGTGCCAAGGGAGGGGACACGGGGATGTCCCCAAGGTTGGGGACAACCCTCGAGTGTCCTCAAGTGTCCCCAAGTGTCCCCAAGCTTGGGGACATCAAGGACAGGCCACCCCGGGGGTCCCAGACTCATCCAGGGGGGGCTCGAGCTGCTGCTTGCAGGTGCCAAGGGAGGGGACAGAGGGGACACGGGGATGTCCCCAACCTTGGAGATGACTTCCAAGGGTCCCCAAGTGTCCTCGAGTGTCCCCAAGTGTCCCCGAGTGTCCCCAAGCTTGGGGACATCAAGGACAGGCCACCCCAGGGGTCCCAAACGCGCCCAGGGACCCCCTTGGGGGGCTCGAGCTGCTGCTTCAGGGTGCCAAGGGAGGGGACAGAGGGGACACGGGGATGTCCCCAAGCTTGGGGACACTTATGGACACACCAGGGGTCATCCCCAAGCTTGGGGACACGTTGGGGACACGTTGGGGACACGCAGCCTGTGGCAGGTCCCGGCGCTGCGCCTGCATTTTTGGGGAGGGAGGGGGGGATTTTGGGGACATTGGGGGACAGTTGGGGACAGGGGGCGGGGGGGGGATGTCCTTCGGTGCCACCCCCACGTTGGGGAAAGGGGACAAGGGGGGTGGTGGCACCTCTGTCACGGTTATTTATTGTCTAATAAAGGTCTGGATGTCACTGGGGGGGGGTCCTGGGATGTCCCCTCCTTTATGGGGTCACACATTCCCCTTTTTGGGGTCACACACCCCTTTTGGGGTCACACACCCCCTGTTTGGGGTCACACACCCCCTGTTTGGGGTCACACACCCCCTTTTGGGGTCACACTCTCCCTTTTTGGGGGGCTCAGTTGGTCCAAGCCCCTCCCCAGTAAACAGGAAGTCCCGGGTTCGAATCCCAGCGGTGCCTTTTACTCCCCACCCGGGGGTTCAGGGCGGTTTTTGGGGGGTCGTGGGGGTTCTGGGGCTTTGGGGGTGCTGGGAGGGG